ATTCTTTTTTAAAGAACTAAATTAAATAAATTATATATTATAATTATAAAATTGCAAATTTATATTCATAAAAAAACAATTAAAAAAATTAAAATTTCCGTGATTCACGGGAAATTTATGTTCACACCCAATCACGGTAGGCAAAAATTTTGGGAAAACCCGTCACACTCAGTAATGCCCAATAATTTAAAATTTATTCACTTTCACTACGTGACCCATCGTGTCACGCTTAATTTTACGGCCGAGACCCACCTCTAATCCTGTATATTTCTTTCCGTTCAACTGCTAATAGTCTTTTTCCAATTTTCCTTTTATGATGCAAATTTCAATATTAGGTTTAATAAGGAAGATATTGGAGCCATTTTTTTTCCTCTTTAGCTTTCACCTTATCTGGTGATAAGCTCCTTCAACATCTCTCTCCACTTTATGTTATTCATACAATCTCTTATTTAATTTATACTTCTTTATATTGGCTCTAACTTTATGGCCCCATTGAAGTTTTGACCTTCCTCTTTTACGTTTGCCCATCACTTTCAAACTCTCAACCTTATTTCCTATGTAGTTCATAGGCCTTCTCATTGTTTGCCCATTATCCTTTTTGTTACCCCAGCAATCATCCTCAGCATTCTCATCTCCATAGTTTGTAGACTTCTCTCGTCTGATTTCTTGGTGGTCATGTTTCCGAACTATATAGAATAGTTGGTTGTACTATGGAACTGTAAATTTTTCCCTTTAATTTGTGTGGGATACTTTTGTCAAATAGCACTCCATTTAAAGATCTCCACTTTAACCACCCTTGATTAATACTCTTTATCTCTTTTTCTATTGTGCCGTTTGTTTGTATAGTGGAGCCCAAATATTTGCAGCTTTCAATTGCCGATATCTGCCATTCATTTATATCAATATTCTGTTTCATCTGCTCCTATCACCATATACTCCGTCTTTTCTCTATTTACTTTTAGTCCGTGCTTTTCTAGGATATTTGTCCAATTCACCAATCTTTCTTTCATTTCATCCTTGGATTAGGCAAGTATCACAATACCATCTGCAAATATCATCCACGGGACTGTTTGAGGTATAGACTGTGCTAATACATCTATTACTGTAATGAAGAGAAGTGGGCTGAGAGCCGACCCTTGATGAACTCCTTCGGCTATTGTGAAGCCTGCTGAAGTACCTGTTGTGCTACGGACCATTGTTGTATGGCCCATATACATATCCTGTATTATTCTTATATACGGGATCTTTTTGTGTAGCGCCCACCAGATAAATTTGAATGCCTTTTCTAGATTGAGAAACATGTGTAGCTTTTTGTTCTTTTCCCTGTATTTTTCACTCATTTGCCTAATTGCGTGGATAGCATCGGTTGTTGATCTTCCAGGCATAAAGCAAACTGAGTCTCTCCTATTTCGATTATGTCTCTTAATCTTTTTTCTATTATTTTTTCGTATAGTTTTAGACAGTGTGACATTAGTTTTATGCCCCTGTAATTTTGACAATTGTGTGGATCCTCATTATTTTTGAAGATAGGAACTAGATAGCTTTGCCTGAGGGATCTCTTTGTTTCCCAGTATTTTATTATACAGATTTGTGAGGAGATGTATTCCATCATCTCCTAGTGCTTTAAGGCTTTCTATTGGAATATCATCTGGACCCCTAGCTTTGTTGTTTTTCATATGCCTCAGGCATGTGATTATTTCTTGTTCTGTTATAGGTTGTACAAGGTTTTGACATGGGGAGTCTTCATCTAGATGTAGTATGTGGGGATTAAAGCTCCTGAAAATATTCTTTCCATCTATTCATTATTTCTTTTTCCTTAATTATCAATTTCCCATCTTTATTTTTGATTACTTTTGGAGCTCCGTTTATATCCCTAGAATTCTTTTCTCGCTGTTTGGATAATCTGTATATTTTGTTTTGTCCTTCTTTGGTATGTAGTTCTTCATACATGTCATTGTATGCCATAGATTTGGTCCTAGCCACCGCCTTTGTAGCTAATCTCTTGAGTTTTTTGTATCTTGTTTTGTCATCTGGGTTTTTGGATTTGTACCATATTTTATAAAGGGCTTTTTTCTCCTGTATAGTGGTTTGTACCTCTTCATTCAACCACTATAGTTTTTTGTATGATTTGTTACCTCCCCTTGTCAAGCCTAGTGTCGATTTGACAGTGTCTATTAATCTGGATGAAAGGTCTGTCCACATTTTTTCATTGACTTGTGAGGAATTTATTGTTTCAATGTTTGCATTGATTGCAAAGGCATCTATCATTGTTTTTAATTTGCCCCATTTGATGCATGGTTCCTGTTTTATCTTATTTTGAGTGGATTTATTTGAGATGTGTAAATCCATGACTAGTAGCTTGTGTTGAGCGGCGATATCTTCTCCTGGGATGACTATGACTGTTTTTTTTCCTATAGTAGGTGTTTATTAAGGCAAGGTCGAAGGCTTGCGCAAATTTCAGTACATGCTCTCCTTCATCATTTCTTTCTACTTATCCAAAACCACCAGATACCTTTTGTAGCTATCTCTTGCTTTTCCCACATGCGCATTTAAGTCACCACCTATTATGACAAGGTCATCCTTAGAGATTTCCATTAGAGCTTCATCGAGGATAGCTCTAAAGTCATCTTTCTCTTCTTCCTTGCAACCCGTTTGAGGAGCATATACTGAAAGGATGTATAGTATTGATTGACCAATGCAGAGTTTTATCTTCATTAGTCTATCAGAGATCCTGTTGACTTCTACTACTGAGGAGGTTAGATCTTGACTGAGAATGATGCCGACACCGTTCCTATTGCTAACAATTCCATTATAGTACAATTTATACCCATCTCCAATCATCAAAGTCTTCTGTCCTTTCCATTTCTTCTCTTGTATGCACGGCTATATCAACATTTCTCTTGTTCAACATTGATGCCAATTCTCTCGTCTTACCTTTATGTGTACCAATATTCAAACTTGCTAATCTTGTTTCTTTTCTTTGACCTTTATTTTACTTTTCACAGGATGGAGGTCTACACCCTGCGCGTCGCTTGGAGGGAACGCCTTAGCTTTCATATTCATATTCATATTTTCATTTGTTTCCTTCATTTGGTTTATTGGACAAGTATCCTTAGCACCCGGCTGTCCAGGCCTGTCGGTGACCGGGGTGTCATCTTTAAGCTCCGAAATTCATCTTACCATATGTCTTTACACATCAGTCATCGAAGAAAAACCTAAAAGTTTTTTTTTATGCTCCTTACCAGGATTGAACCTGCGTATAATGCGTCCTTCTGTTTCTAATCATACATCTAACCAATTAGGCCACCCCGGCGATATATAATGGAGCCATTTTATCTACAATAAATCTTAATTATGCCTAAATTCTTTTAAATTTTACACAATAAATTATCGAATAATTAATTTTAAATTCCTGATGACGAGTTTCATAATTTTTAGACTAAAAAATAGCAACTCGTTTTGTTGTAATTTATTGAAATGGAGTCTAATACCATTTCGGCCAAAATAAATATGACTACTTTTCGTTTAGGTGAAGTGTATTGGTCATTTATTGTTATTGATAATTATATATTTTTTTTAAGCTTTTTAGCAGGTATATGGAAACATTGCGATAAAAAATCTTGAAAAATTATATTTTTACCTGAATCAGTTAATGTAAGAGATACATGAAAAGAGACCTCAAGGATTAAAAAAGGCGGATATGGTTTGTTATTATTTAATTTAAAAAATGATGGAATGAAAAGTCATAAATAATATTTTTATAAAAATATGGTGGTCATTATTATTTTTGGAAGCAATTTCTGGGGGCCAAAAAAACTTGAAGACCAGGCTTAGGGGCCAAATTTTTTTGGGCATAGCCAACCCCCTTTCCATGCTAATATGCACCCAATTTTTATCCAAAATATTACTCCTCCTTAATTTATACAAATAAGCAATCTTTTAAGTAGTGTTGTTAAACGGCTCGATTTGAGCCGATTTTTAAAAACAGCTAACTCAACATTATATCCAGGAAAATATTGCCTAAGTATCGAGATCTTGATAATAGATGTTTAATCCTATGTGCCATCTATGAACAAAATCTTTAAGCTTGCATAATATTTTTCTGGATAAAATATTGAGTTAGCCGTTTTTAAAAATCGGCTCAAATTGAGCCGTTTAACAACACTACTTTTAAGCAGTAAGCTATTTTGGACAAATTTTAAATATTTAAATATAAATACACCTTAAAAAATATTGAATTAAATATAAATAAATTTTTTAAAATTAAATATAAATACCAGAAGCCTGCAGGCCCGGCCTGGAATCATAGGCCGAGCCGTATTTTAATTTTTTTAAATAAACCCGGGCTGGGCCGGGTCTGAAGAGTTTTTCCTGTTTCTTTTTTATAAGACATACGATTTTTTAACAATAAATATGTTCCAAACAAGAAAAGCTTTTTAATCACATCATCTATCAAATTGACAGTTTATCAATAGAAATGACAAGTGATTAAAATTTATTAAAACATATTATTATTCCGAATAATTTAATATTCGTCGAATCGAATATTTGAATAATTCGATTCGAATTAAACAAGTTATTCGAATAAATAATTTACTTTTTTGTATTGTTATCAATCGATTAATAGTACATTTGATTCATTTTTGAATAGCAATTTTTTAAAAAATATAAATATTAATTAAAATAATGCCAAATTTTAGTTTAGATTTGCTTTTTCAGTAAATTAATTTTTTAATTTTTAAGCAGATGATTTTTCTTAATTTTTAAGCAGACGAATTTTCTTAATTTTATTATTAATAAAATGTTTAATGCTAGTATTATGAGCACAGAAGCAAATATTGAAAATGATCAAAATGAAGTTATTCATATAGAAGTTTTGTTGAAAAATAAAAAGTTTTAATATTATTTACTATTAAATATATATTTAAAATGTTATTGATAGGAATTATGAATATGATATGATAAAAAAACGCGTATTATTATACTTAAAATCATTTTACATGATTTTTATCGATCACCATTTATTAATCGAAAAGATTAAAGATGATTATTTAAAAGATAAAGTTATTTCAATATCAGTTGATCAATCGAGTATTCCTGAAGGCATAGTACATTATTCTGCCTATATTTTAAATAAGTTTTGTCGAAAGTTTTTAGATGTTGATAATAATAATATTCAAGTTCATTTATATCATCTAAATATGGTTCATGAAAATAACATATTTAATAAAACTATAAATGGGGATGATATGGATCAAGTCAGTAGCGGTAGTTCAGAAAACTTATCATCTTCAAAAAATTGGATGCTGCCTTCCTATGCTTTTCATAATTTGTGGGATACTTTAGTTTTTGATTCTCATATCAAAAATGATGTTAGTTTTATCAATTATGGAAATTATAAAATCAAATTTTATATATTTTTTAAAGCTATTAGATTATGCATATACCACTATACTTTTTTCACGTCACATGATAGATACTACTATTATTAGTTGGAACAAAGTTATTTTGCTTCACGGTATTTTGTAGTATATGTAATTTTCTTTTCTTAGTTTCCATAGGACCTCCAGGAACTGGAAAAACATCTTTAAGTAAAGCACTTTGTCAGAAAATTACTATAAGAATGTCAGAAGTTTACTCTTACGGTTATTTAGTTGAAGTCAATAGCCACTGTTTATTTTCCAAGTGGTTTTCAGAGGTGAAACAAATTAATTTTATACAAAAATTAATTATATTTTGGTAAGTCATTGAATCGTGGGGAATCGAAAACCAATCTCTTAGATAAAATTATATGGAGTAGGATAAATATATAATAAAAAAAATGGTTTAATAAAATTATATTCTGGCAATTTAATAAAATCACTGGTTTATAAAAATTAATAAAATAAACCAATAAAAAATTTCTATGTGATTCAATGACTTACCAATATTTTTAATTAAAGTAATATTTTTTTTAAAATTTTATATCAATAGAGTGGGAAATTAGTTCAGCGATTGTTTCAAAGGATTAATGATTTAGTTATAGATTCCCAAGCACTAGTATTTGTATTGATTGATGAAGTTTATATCTCATAATATCATTCATTTAAAATTTTAAAGGTGGAAAGCTTGGCCTTAGCCAGAAATACGTCTGTTTCCAATTCTGAACCATCGGATGCAATAAGAGTTGTCAATGCCATTCTTACCCAAATAGACCAAATTAAAAGGTTATTTAAAAAGTATCAATAAAACCTAAAAAGTGGATACAAAATAATATTCGTTTGATTGTTATAATAAATTACTTGAAACTGAGAGGCAGGCGGGGTAAATGAGTAATCATTTGATTTTTTAACCCCTTGACATAAGCATATTCAGGATCGTAAAAGTGGGTGGGGATTTTTGCTTTTTTTTCATTCTAATATTTGCACCTGTTTTTTTGAAAAAAAGTTCCAAAAATCATTATTTAATAATTTATCAACTTAAACTTACTTTCTTAAAAAAAATATGGTATATAATGTAATCGACATATTTTTTTGGGAGAGGGTTGCTGGAGACGTGTAGCTGTAAAGCAGGGATGTAGTTGGAGGGGGGGGGGCACACAATTCTCTTGCCGATTTAAAGAAAATTATCATGCCCTGCCAGAAATTTCCAAAAGTAGGGGGCTCCAAAAGATTTGAATTATTTTTTATAATTTTTTGTCATTAAATATACATAACATGTTTTATAAACAAAATGGTATTAATGTAATTATAGGGGAGCAGACCCGGGATAGTATCCCGAGATAGGTAATTTCTTAAATATTTTAAAACTAATAAACTTTTATATTTAAAATTTAAACCATACATGTTAATTAGACGCTTCAGGTTATAACAATGTTTCGCAAAATTGTGCTCATGAAATGTTTTAAATGCAAATTTAATTTTAACATGCCCAAAAGTAACTTTTTTAATTTTAAACTTTACGAATAACTTTTTTTTATAAATGTTACTCAGATTAATCTAAATGATAAAGTAATCTTAATTGAATAATATATAAAAATATTGACGATATTTATGTTAATTCAATATCTTGAAATTGAATTTTAAATAAATATGGAGACCTGGAGCAGGTTTTGGTGGAGTAAGTATTAACCATTTTTAAGCAGGGATTTATTTTAATAAAAAAAAATTAACTTTATTTATAAAAACACCATGAGCCACGAGTTTGTCAATGTTGTTTTTTAAATGATAATTTTAAGTGATAACAAGGTTTTCCAGGTGATATATATAATATGGAAGAATCAGGTACATTTAACATATTTGATCTTCATTAATTTACGTAGGATTAAAATAGAGATTTTTATGCTAATTCGTGACAATTTGAAAATCAGTCAGGAAAGGAGGGTTCTTAAGGTAACTAAAGTGTTTATTTAGGACGCAAGAACAATAAAGTTGAAGTGCAACCTCTATATAAAAATTTTAAGAATCTAGTAGCCATCCATCAACCAATGAGTAAGGTTGATGTTAAGTTTTTCTAGTCATGATGAATTACTATCATTGACTTTGGGAGGATTTTGCTAAAGTTGTATTATTTAACCTGTTAAAGAAAGGTATTTATTTTGAGTGAAAAATTGAATAACAAATTGCTTTCAAAATTATAAAATAAAAAATTGGCGAAGAACCAATTTTAGTCTGTTTTAATAATCAATTAGAAATAATCACAAGGAGTGCATCTAATAATGTTGCACCCCCACAGACCAAGTCATACCCATCAAGACTAAGAATAAAGACTTTCAGTCAAACTAATATAATATTAGCTTTTATTTGATACCTGCTGAATTTTGACCGACGGGTCCCACCGTCAGAAAGGGGAAAACACAATCCGTGATCGGGGGTCCGGGATGGTCGATAATGGGATCCAGGGGGCCGGGTTTGGGTATTGATTTTGTCATGGGATCAAGCGGACAACGTAGTGTAATAAAGGTAACTCGAATTTATTTTAAAGGTTAATCAAAAGTAAATACAACCGAATTAAGGTAAAACAAATTTATTTTAATAGTTAAAAAAAAAGTAAATAATAAAATCATTACATAAAAAAAAATTACGATCCCGAATTTCATTTTTCGTGGTCTTTGCATAGATAAATTAAATAATAAAAGAAAAGAATGTTAATAATCCAGGCCCATCTCGAAACTGGCTAGAACCAGTTTTGAGGATGAAATCAAAACAAGCTTGGTATACGTGAACAAAGAAAAAAAAGATATACATGATAATGAGAAAAACACATCACTTCTAATTGAACAAAGAAAACAAAAATATAAATGGTAATATAAAAACATATCAATAGAACAAAGACATAATAACTATTATAAACTAGTTAAAACACAACTATACACATATCATAAAAATTAATTTTTACACCCTCCCCCCACCCCCCAGACCAAGTCATACCCATCAAGACCAAGAATGAAGACTTTCAGTCAAACCATATTAAAATTAGCTTTTATTTGTTACTCATATCAAAAAAAATTATTTTTACACCCCCCCCCCACACCCCCAGACCAAGAATGAAGAATTTCAGTCAAACCATATTAAAATTAGCTTTTATTTGATACCCATATCAAAAAAAATTATTTTTTACATCCACCCCCACCCCCCAGACAAAGTCATACCCATAAAGACCAAGAATAAATATTTTCAGTCAAACTAATTTAATATTAGCTTTTATTTGATACCCATATCAAAAAAAAAATATTTTTACACCCCCCCCCCCCTCCCCACCCCCAGACCAAGTCATACCCATCAATACCTAGAATAAAGACTTTCAGTCAAACCACAATAAAATTAGCTTTTATTGATACCCATACAAAAAAAATTATTTTTTACACCCCCCTCCACCCCCACCCCCCAGACTAAGTCATACCCATCAATACCTAGAATAAAGACTTTCAGTCAATCCATATTAAAATTAGCTTTTATTTGATTCCTATATCAAAAAAAAATATTTTTTACACCCCCCCCCCCCTCTACCCCCCTCCCCCAGACCAAGTCATATTATAAAGACCAAGAATAAAGACTTTCAGTCAAACCATATTAAAATTAGCTTTTATTTGATACCCATATCAAAAAAATATTTTTTTTACACCCACCCCCCAGACCAAGTCATACCCATCAAGACCAAGAATGAAGACTTTCAGTCAAACCATATTAAAATTAGCTTTGAAATGTATCAGGTCAATTCAGCGAAACTTTTATCGCGAAAATTTTATCGCGAATGTCGTTTATCGCGAAAAGTTTTTTATAGCGAAGGTAAAATCGCGAAACCAATTCTGCGAATTTATCTCCGCGAACATTTATAGCGAAGACAATTTCGCGAAGCCATTGTCGCTAATTTATTTCCGGGAAACCTTAACAGCGAATTTATTAGAGCGAATACATTTTAGCGCAACATTTTACGCGAACACTTTACAGCGAATTTTTTATCGCGAATATGTTTGCGCGAAGTCATTCTCGCGAGCGCATTACCGCGAAACAATAAATATATTGCGAATGCATTTATTTAAAAGAAAACAATATTATTTATTATTTGATGTTTTTTAATAAAAAATGATAAGCTACTATTGTAATATTATTTTTGTTACAATTTATTAGTGATTTTCACGCTCAAGATATTAAGTAAAAAATATTTCTTGAAGTTTAAAAAGATTTTTGAACATATTTTGATAAAAATTTTAAATCTTCTTTGTAAATATATTTTTTTTGAGGAATTCTTTTGTGAAATTTATTATAAATATACAATTTTTAAGTAAAATCTTTTATAGTTTTTTTTATCATTTTTTTGTAAAATTATCTATTTCTTAAATATATTAAAAGGGGTGGGTTTTCTAAAAAAAATTTTTTTAAATATTTATATTCAACTTATTTATGTAAGGAAAATAATTTAATTTGACAATTGTCATATTCGTTATTTCTTAAGATTTTTGAAATTTATTGACTCAAAAGGGTAAAAATATCATTTATATTGTAAAGATGTTAAATTTTAAATTCAATGAAGATGTTCTTGGAAATATGGCAATCATAATCGGTATTTTTAAACATATTAGATTTTTTTAACGCTAATGGGCAAAAATATGTATTTTTAATATGTTAAATTATAATTTCAATTAGGATGTACCATATAAAAGCGAAAATTGCCATAATCATTATTTTTAAAGTTTTTTTACAATTTTTTGAAATAAATGGGCAAAAATATAAGCTGTTGCATGTTAAAATAAAATTTCAGTGAAGATGTACCATAGATATAAGTTACAATTGTCATATTCGTTGTTTATAAAGTTTTTTGAATTTTTTTGTTGCAAATGGGTAAAAATATATATTGTAAACATGCTTAATTAAAATTTCATGAAGATCTACCATTGAAAAGTGTCAATTGTCATAATCGTTGTTTATAAAGTGTTTTGAATTTTTTTGTTGCAAATGTGTAAAAATATAGATTGTAACATGCTAATTTAAAATTTCATGAAGATAAGATATACCATTGAAAAGTGACAATTTTTATAATCGTTATTTTTAAAATTCTTTGATTATTTGCTAACTGTGAATGCAAGCGATAAACGACATTCGCGATAAAAGTTTCGTGAGAAAGTGTTTCGCGATAAAAGTTATGCTGAACTGACATGGAACCTTTATTTAGTACTTAGACATATCTTATATCATAAGGCCAAAAAAAAACAACATTGAAAATTAATGAATAACAATAAAATTATAAAACGCAACGAAACTCGTGTACGCTTTTGAAATAAGATTCCTCTTTATCATATTAAAACGTGATAATGCCGTATAGTTCTTTATCCTTTAAAAAATTGAAATTCTAAAGGGATCCCTTTAAGTCCCGTGAAGATCCCGGATAGTCATGATCCCTTTAAAAATTACGACATATACATAAAAATTGAAAAAAATTAATAAAATAATATTAAAAAAGTTAGGTTGGCTCCTTGGGAAGGAGGCTTCCAATGAAAATAATCTAATTTGATTTATGTATGGCGATAGAAAGTTGTTGTTAGAGGTAATTCCCGTCCATAAAAAAGAATATCTAATAGAAATAGGAGTATGACATTGTATCCATTTTGACTAGTTGAAATCTTGCTTCCCCCATAAAGCTGCATATATCAAGATATATACAAGTCTACTTCATTATAAAAACTAACCAGACAAGGTTTATTTTATGTAATGGGTGACAACATGGTAAA